TTGGCCTCATGCCCCACCACCGACCACCTGAGCTGCTGTCCCCCCGGCCGAGGGCGGTTACCTTCATCGACCACGATGGCCAGGCGGCCGTCTGGGGACAGCCCTACACACTTGACGTTGTACCGAGTAGCCAAGGGCAGAGTGTTCGATTTGTTGCTATAAGACAAAAGCCACAGTCGTGTAGTTGGTCCCGGTTGTTGGAAGAGGGGGCGGCCTCAGACCCCCCACCCCCTGCCCCTTCCCGTCCCTGGCTGGCTCCGGGCCCAGAGCTCACGGCTCGTCCCCAGCTCCCTGCTGGAGAAGAGGAAATAAGACCAGGTTCCTGGAGAACACTAGGCAAAGCGTATTCAAGCCCTTGAAAACGGGCTTTGGTTTGGGGCCCTTGGGGACTCAGTGGAGCGTCCGTCCGACTCTTGATTTTGGCTCAGGTCACGGTCTCGGGGTCGTGGGATGGAGCCTCCCGAGGAAGAAGACGGGCCCTGCAGGTTCTTTCGTTCTCCCTCGCACAAGCTTACTCACTTGCTCTCTCTCGTTCTCTCACCAAAAAAAAAAAAAAAAAAAAAAAAGGTGGAGGGGCCTTGGCTGTTCCTGATTTAGTTTGTACGAGGGCATCCCGAGGTGGTTCCGGGCCAAGTGTTCAACAGAAGGGATTACCCCGAGGACAGCGCGTCCGCATGAAGCCGTCGGGACAGAGTGGGAAACGGCGTAAAAATGGGCAAGCGCAGGCACCTGGGGGCTCAGGGGTCGAGCGTCTGCCTTTGGCTCGGGTGGTGACCCCGGGGTCCCGGGATCGAGTCCCACGGGGCTCCCCGCACGGAGCCTGCTTCTCCCTCTGCCTGTCTCTCTCTCTTAGGAATAAATACATTAAAAAAAAAACGAGGGAAAGCGAACGTCAAGTCCAAGCACCCCTCGGCTTGGGTCTGACTTCGTCCCTCACTACTGTGCCTCCCTCTGCCCCGCGGGGCGCGGCGGCCGGGCCCAGGGCCCAGGGCCCCCCAACAGGCAGCGCTCGGGGAGCTTCGGGAAATGCCCCCCCCCCCCCCCCCCCCCCGAGAGGCCGCGGACCGTCGTGCCGGCTGCGGAGCAGGCCGGGGCCCAGGCAGCCTGGCCGCGCCTCCGGGAAGGGGCGACCGGGAAGGGGCGGCCGCCGCGGCCCGGGTCCTCCCCTGGGAAGAAAGGCGCAGCGCCCGCGTGTCTGGGCCGGGCGCGCAGGGCCGAGGGCAGGGCCCCGGGGCGCAGCGGGCGGGGAGAGGGCGGACCGTGGCCGCTGCCCACTTGCTTTTTCAGGTCGAATACGGTGACTCTGTTCCCCACGGGGCTGATCACGGAGTCGCCGTCGCACGTGAAGCTCAAGTTTCCGCAGCGATAGACCGTCCCCAGCAGGTTGGAGAACTGGAAGGAAGCGCTCGCCTGGGACCGGGCCCGGGGGCCACCGCGGCCGCGCCGACGGAGCCCCGCGCCGGCCCCGCTCAGCCCCGGGTCCCTCGGGCCGCCTCCCGGGGCGGGGACGGCAGGGGGCACCGGGGACCCCGCGGGGGCGCCACCGCCCCGTGCCCCGGCCGCGCTGCGGCCCGACGGGGACCCGCCCGCCCCCCGCCGCCCGCCGCCCGCCGCCCGCGGAGGCCGCCCCCCCCTCCCCGCCCCGCCCGCGGACCCCGGACCCCGGACCCAGACCCGGACCCCGACCCCGACCCCGACCCCGACTCGGACCCCGCGCGCACCCGGTACGCGAACTTCATCTCTGCGGCCGCCGCCCCACGTGTGCGCCGCGCCCGCCCGCGGCCCCAAGCGCGCACTTCCGGGACCCGCCGCCACGCCGCGCCGCGCCACAGCGCCCCCAGCCGGCCCGGAGGGGCGGGGCCGCAGGGAGGAGCCCAGCCGCAGGCCCCGCCCCGCCGCGTCCCGAGGCGGAGTCCCAGCCGCAGGCCCCGCCCCCGCCGCGCCCCGAGGCGGATCCCAGCCGCAGGCCCCGCCCCCGCCGCGTCCCGAGGCGGATCCCAGCCGCAGGCCCCGCCCCCGCCGCGCCCCGAGGCGGATCCCAGCCGCAGGCCCCGCCCCCTCCGCATCCCGAGGCGGATCCCAGCCGCAGGCCCCGCCCCTCCGCATCCCGAGGCGGAGTCCCGCAGCCCCGCCCCTGCTGCGCCCCGAGGCGGCCAGCCCCGAGGCGGAGTCCCGCAGCCGCCCCCGCCGCCCGAGGCGGATCCCAGCCGCAGGCCCCGCCCCCCCGCGTCCCGAGGCGGATCCCAGCCGCAGGCCCCGCCCCCGCCGCGTCCCGAGGCGGAGTCCCAGCCGCAGGCCCCGCCCCCGCCGCGCCCCGAGGCGGATCCCAGCCGCAGGCCCCGCCCCCGCCGCGCCCCGAGGCGGATCCCAGCCGCAGCCCCGCCCCCTCCGCATCCCGAGGCGGATCCCAGCCGCAGGCCCCGCCCCCGCCGCGCCCCGGGGCGGATCCCAGCCGCAGGCCACGCCCCCCGAGGCGGAGTCCCAGCCGCAGGCCCCGCCCCCGCCGCATCCCGAGGCGGATCCCAGCCGCAGGCCCCGCCCCCTCCGCATCCCGAGGCGGAGTCCCAGCCGCCGGCCCCGTCCCTGCTGCGCCCCGAGGCGGATCCCAGCCGCAGGCCCCGCCCCCACCTGCACCCAGCAGGGCCCGGGCTCCAGCCCTGTAGAGCGGGGTGGGCGCCTCCGCTCAGGTAGCTCCTCCCTGAGTAGGTGAGGAGCTCCGGCCCCACGGTCAGTTTCAACAGCTTCCGCATTGCGACCCGGGGACCGAAAGCAAGACTCGAAGCAGCTTCAGAAATTGTATTCGCGATGCTACCAAACGTCACAAGGGTAGTTACCTTGCGACACGTTAGGTTGGCACATTGTTTACAAAAAACCTAAAGATTCGAACGTCTTCATTCCTAGGGGCCACCGGGGGATGAACTATGAAAAAAATCCCTGATGCTCCCCACAACGTTAAATAAATGATCTTTGCTTCGAGTCAGGAAGCATTAGGGAGAAGCCAAGAAAATTCTTTACAAGCTCCTCAGCAAAAGAATGAAGTTCAAAACAGCAAAGTTTCTTCTTAAAATGTGTATTTTCAGAATTACAATGCTTACATTTTAAACAGTCTTAATACAATGGCTTTAGTCTAACAATATATTACAGAACAATGTGAAAAATGACTCTCCTAGTAAACCATGAAAATGGAATTAATACCTGCAGTGTCAAAGTCACCAACTTGTCACCTTTTCCAGTCACAGAATCCCAGCAAATTTTATTGACGATGCTTTCGGGTCTTACAGCCGGATATAGTTCGATGGCTAAATTTAGAGAAAGGGGCATTTCCATGAAAATTCAGATTCCAAAATCACGGATTTATTTTAAAGATCACAATCGACAGCAAGACATTTAGATCAGCATAGTTTGTTCTTTAAAAAGTGGTATGATGTTTCATTTTATGTACACATCTGGAGAGACTCCTTGAGTTCATTTTATGACTCAAGCTTAAACACTAAAGAAACCCTGAACCGGAGCCTGTGTGTCTCTCCTCTGCTAACCATGGGATACCAACCGAGACTTACTGGTACACGAATCCAACCCATGACCGGCTGTGCTGACAATGGACTGTAGGTAAAAGTCATTTTCAGATTAAATACAACAATTCCCATATTAGAATCAGAAGTTATAATTTTTCCGATCATAGGAAGCCCCATGAAATTCACCAAAATTATAACTTAATTCCTTTTCCATTTGCTAGTATTTACATCTTCCACAGTATGTGTAAAACGGCTGCATATTCTGCTTTTTAGATACACGTTCTATATCCGGCGTCACAATTATTTAACAGCTGCTGCATCTTTATTAACAAAACCAGCTTGTCTCAAACGTATAAGCCTTATTTTATTTTAAACACAACAAAAATCCAAGTACCGCCTTAAAAAAAAAAAAAAGGTGAAGCTTAGGTGACATTTTTCTTTTGTGTAGAACCAAACAAAAACAGAGGCACCCATGTAACTTAGGTTGCAAAAGATCTTTTGGGTAATTCCCGGGGTGGGGTGGTGGAGCGACCAAACCTGCAATAAATTTGATTTTATACAAACTGAAGATAGAAAGAAACCACCACGAGCATTTTGGATTCCCCCTTCATTTTTTTCCCTCTAAGTATATTATATAACTAGAGAATTTCATCGCGGGATTAGAACCCAGACACAAAGAAATCAAACAGAAATAAGGTAACCATCGAATCAAATCCCCCTTCCGGAAGGTGAGAGGGAAAGCCACATTATACAGAGTGTGAGGCTTTTCTGACAGAATCAAATCTCAAAGATCTCTTTATTCCCAGTGCTTGAAGGCAGATCTGTAGGGAAAACATCAATTTTTTACAACAAAACAAACTTATTTTAGAAACCCTAAACTATCTATTATTAGATTCTGAAGCTCTAATTTGCCTAACTAGTTGATTAGTTTTAAAGTGCACCTAAGGAAGATAAATTTCTGAAAAGTTTAATTAAACACACAGATATCGACCTTCTTTATACATTTCCGATTTCTGTAAATGAAAAAGACAGGGCAGGGTGGGGGGAATCACGCCACCTCATCTGTTGAGTGAAAAGACAGCGCACAGAAGCGTGGACACGACTGCTCTGTTCTAGTTGCTCCGAGCTTCCCGCCGGCCCCCGCTCCCTGCTCCCCGCCACCACCCCACCCCGTCACCCCGCCAGCCTCGCTCCCACACCCACAGGTGACCGGCAGGACTGGCAGCAGCTGCTGCAGAGGCCCCCTCTCCTCTCTGGCTCACATGCTTGAAGTTGCTCCCACGCGGCCGCACCCCCTGCTGGACCTGTCTACACTCACTTGCAGCAGTCCGGTCTACACTCAGCAGTCCGGTCAGGCTCGATTCCAACCACGCCTTGTCAGGGAAGTAAGAGTTCTCTATTTCTTATGTACAAAAATACATCGCTTTGGAGAGCTGGAAAAGGTTGCATACACCCAACACTTATTTACAAGCTGTGACTCTCACACCAGTAAAAACAAACACACGTTTATTTTATCCTTGATTTTTGGTGCAACTTATACATAAACATTACATCAGTTAGTCTGTACTTTTAAAAATAATAAATCAACCATATGTACAATTAAATTTACAACCAAAAGCAAATTAATCCATTGGTATGGTACGATGGCAATTTTAGTGGGCCGGCAGAGAACATTCCAAGACTTTCGTCCTTTCCACAACCAAACTAGAAGCACACTGAGAGGGCACTCCCAGTCTCCCCTGAAACGGAGCCTCTTAATGTCTAGGACTCGGGTGCAGAAGAAACATATTGATTACACAGTGACAATGACATGTGAAGACTTTAAAGGTGAGAAGAAAACAATGTATCAACCCCCACATATATAATGATAATTAAAATAAATACATATTTAATTCCAAGTGCATATGACATTCAGTCAACGTCATGGGGAGCAGGGGTTCTAGAAACATTTATTCCTAAACTACTTCGATTCCAAGTCGTCCCTTAGGCCCCGGTCTAATCTTCCCAAAGTACCTTTAAGATGGCTCCAGCTAATGGAGGTTCCAGGTCCACCCCGTGCGACCCCCAAGGCACAGAAGGGGTTCTGTTCCCACCCCACCCCAGCCCTCAGCCTCGCTGACCTGCCCTAATGGGGAGTTGTTATTCTAGAAAAGCACTGCTCATCTGGGATAAAGGATGGTGTTTTATCCCCCAGGAGACTCACGGATCCACCTGGTCCAGTATCGAGGGGGCAGCCGTTGTGTCTCCCCCGAGGGCACACAGACTCCAGAAGGAACCCATGGACCAGGAGGCTGCCAGGTGAGCGGGGAGGGGGCGACGGGAGGGAGTGGGGCTCTGGGCCAACACTGCAGGACGCCGGCACGGGGACAGGGACACAGGGACGGGGAGATGAGAGAGTAACACCACTGACAACACAAAAATAAACGCTGTAACTCAGCCGACCAGCCACACGCCGAACTCCTCGGAGGCTTCCGTGGCCAGGCAGGATCACCGAAAGTCTGGTTAGCGCGAGAATGTTGCGATGGAGAGAGCAGTGGAGCCAGGATCCCTTCAAGCGTGCGCACACCCGGCCTGGGGCGTGTGCCGACCTGAGGCGGGGTCATGTGACGCTGACTTCGAGCACATGGTCGTCTTTGCTGGGGATGACCAGGATCTGCATGCCCGTGCTGGAGTTGAAGACCTGGCCGGGCGGCAGTGCTTGGAGCCGGGGCATGGGCAAGCCTTTGTGCTCGCTGCTGGAGGCCGAGTGCACGCTGCCCCTGCTCTTGATGCTGCCGCTGTCCAGCTGCTCATCCACGTGCTTGTCCACCGACAGGCTGTCGTTCTCTATCCAGCTGTCTGCAAAATGCACGGAAGTGAGACACGGGCCCACCGACACAGACCAGTGACCCATCCCAGGAGCAGCGGGCCGCCCGAGCGACCTCAGGTGCACAAACACGTCGGCTGAGGCGGCCCGTTTAGAGAGAACCTAGTGCGTGGGCCCTCGGAGGACCCGTGTGGGTCTCAGAGCAGGTGCCTACAACTTGTGACCCCGACCGGGTGTTTGGTGTTAGACCCCGCTGGCACCAGACCCACGCTGTTGATCCACAAGCCCGGTGGCTGGAGCTGGGTCAACCACCTCCTCGCACTCCCAACAGCGAGCGCACCCTTCATGTCCAAGAATCCTTACCGGCATCCAGTTGTGAGGAGTGCGCAGAGTGATGGGGGAGGTATTTAAACAGCCTGACGTCAGGAAGGGGGAGGTACCCCGCAAAGAGGGGCATCACCTCCATGTGGACCCGGTGAGTGGCCTGCGCGGCCACAGGCATGGAGATGACGCCAGAACTCTTCCCGCACACTGCCCAATTGCTGCTGTTGTCCACCACTGAAACAAGGAAAGCACTGGTTTTACCCCAGGAGAGGGCACTCCGTGTTCACACCAAAATAAGAGCCACCAGCAGCCCCACACTCCAGAGTGTAAAATCCGAAACTGGATACATTCTGTATCTTGCTGCCTCATAACTGTACCTGAACAGGAAACACGTATGGTTTGATAATAAGATACGTGTTGGATGCACAGGGAAAGTCACTTTGTTCTGCTCAACATCATAAACGAACAGTGATTCAACTGTGCTGGAAGGCGGTGTGTCACACTACGGGCGCGCTGGCTGTTAAATTTGGAATGGGGTGGAACAGGGTGGCGGTCCATCTAGCAGGTGGTGGCATCAGACTGGGGGGTCCCGATCCCAACCTGCCGCTTGGACAAGCCCCTGGCATGGGACGGAAACAGACGTATGTAAGCCCTTCGACCTGCAGCACAGCAGATATTCCTAATATATGCAGTTATTAGCACTAATTATTAAAACACAACCGTGACATAATTCAGTGTAATACAAATATGTAATCGAGCAGTCACTCAAGAAGTTGGCAGGTCAGAGCCTTGTCTGGACAAGCAGATGGCCCTGCAGAGAGGTGACAGCAGCCCTGTCAAGGGGACACATAGCAGGGCCCAGGAGCTCCAAGGACCGAAGGTCCCCAAGCAGCAGAGAAGGGGTGGCAGAGGGCCGGCTTCCTACACAGGGCAGGGGAGCCTCTGAGGGAGGTGCCGCAGCAGTTCTCAGACAGTGGTTCCTGGGGCACCAGGGGGTCACACCCCTGCCTTTCTCCCTGGGCTGCCAGGCACACCGGTGGCTGGTGCCGGAGGCCTGAGGGTGAACCGAGGCCCCACGTGCGAGGGGTTGGGCCAGTGGGTTCCTCACCACACACTTGAGGATAGAAACTGCGCCAGTTTTACTTAAGGCTGTCCTTCGTGGAGTAGTCAAAATTAATTTTATTAAATCCAGTCCTTAAAGAAACATCTTTTTAACTTTAACTCTGAAATGATTATAGACTCCTGAGAAGCTGCAAACCATTCGAGACGGGCCCCGTGAACCCCTCACTCTGGGCCCCCAGGCTCCCGGGCTCACTGGGACTGAGCCAGCGGTGCTCTTCAGTCTGCGGTACTGGGCAGATGTCGTCTCGAAAAAGAAGGGGCGTGAGCCTGTCACTTCAAAGAAGTAGCCAATGATACAGTTCGAAACTCTGATCAAAAGGGAGAATTTCAGAAAATCTGCCTTTGCCACTGCGAGCCCAGCAGCGTCCCAGGACTCGGACTACCCTGATGAGCTCCGAGCGGGCTGGAAAGGGGTGCCAGCCGGAGGTAAGAGGGCCTCTCAAACTACAAGCCAGATGTAAGGCTCTGAGGAAACGGAGTATGAAAAGTTGGTTCACGTGGTTTCAGAGTCCACTCCGTACCCAGCCCGGAAGAAAGTTCCACTTGTCAAGTTCTGGTGAGAACCACGGTTACAAGAGGGCTGTCGAAGGAGGCCTCCCTTTACAACTACCCATCTGGGCGACCCTGGGGCGCCCTCACATCCTTCAGCCACGTCGCCACACACGGAGGGCAGCAGGACGACTCAGCTACCTTCCGGGAATCCAGACGTTAGGGAGAATCCAGGGGTGCACAATTATGTCTTGTTTTGTTTCGGAAAACAGTTCTTTTTCAAGCATGTCATGTAATGCATTTACTGTGATTTTTAAGGGACTAAAACAAGAAATCGTTGGCTCCTCAACCATTTCTTAGAGCATAAACGGTCCTGACACCCCAAACTGAGCTGCTTGTGAAGCAGCCCAGGGCCTGGAGGAGGTGGATGGGGACGGGGAGTCTGGAGCAGTGGGCAACAGGGAGGAGCCCGTACAGGGGGCCAGTGCTGGGAGATGGGGGGAATGGAGCTGGGGCTGGGGATGTAACGAGGCCCGGACTCCAGGACACACGGACTGCTGGGCGGCAGCGCTGGGAAGACCCTGAATCACGGGCAGAGAGGGAAGGGCAGCTCTGGGGGCCACGGCGTTCCCAACGACCGCTTGAGAAAACCTGACTCCCTGGCACCCAAGCCCAACACCCCGCCTGCCTAGGACCACGCCATGTAATAAAACATTCAAATGAGCTTTTCTGATCCTAGAACAGTCTCTCTTCAGATAGGGAACACTACTGTGGGAAGAGGGGGCACAAGCCCCTCACACGCGGGGTAGCACAGCAGTTAGGGGAAAAGACACCTCCAGACCTACCTTCATACATAAGCTTGGTCGAAAAATAGTCGTCCGACTCTGTCAGTGCTTCGTCCTTATCCACCTCCAGGAGGTCCGAGAGCCGCGTGATGGACACCTCCAGGGAGCACAGCGAGCCGGTCCGACAGTGCTCCGTGCCCGAGGGGGGCAGGATCTCAGCTCTCACGTTATACAATGTCTGGGCGAGAAAGGGAGACAAGCGCGTGTGTGAACGGCCTGCAGGGACGGTATCCTCGGCCCCGGGTGCCCGCGGGCATCGGAGGAGGAGGGCCTGGCTCGGCCGCTTCGCGGAGTCAGAGGAGATGCCGGCCGCGGCCCCGGAGCAACCCCCTCGCGGGGACACGTGCTTGGCGAGTCCCCGCCGCGAGCACCCGAGTCTTTCTCAGGCGGACCCTTGCCGCTCGCTGTCACCCGACTCAGGAGTATCAACGGTTTGCTCCATCTGCTTTCTCTCTCTCTCTGGACTGACAGGTATTCGTCTCCTGGGGCACTGAAGGCAGAGCCCAGAGAGCCTGTCGCTTCACCCCTCGGTAGTTCGGGAGGCATCCCTAGAAACACGCACATCCTCTTACAAACACGACCCAGAACCGCAAAGAGCGAAGGTAACACTCCTTCCTGGCCTCTGGCCCAACGTTCTCCTTTCCTCGATGACCTCTTCGCCCAACAGCCACACCTATTCCCACCTGCCTGACATCCTCACCACCTGGGACAAAGACCTGAAGCCTGGCGGTGCTACTTTGGAAGGTAAGGGTTGTTCCTTCAGGATCCTGTGAGAGTAACTCCGCTGCTCCTGCTCTTGCTGCCTCAGTATCCGTTTTGTTGGCCAAGCAGCCTGCGGGGGCCCTGCATGGACACCGGCCCTCAGGCAGGCACATGCCCTGGGTACGGGGTCACACGCAAAGGTAAGCTCCTGACAGCATCTCCCTAAGCCCCCTTCTGATCAACAGCCCCCAGCACCTTCCCCTCATGTGCCCCCGAGATAAAAGCCCCACGGGGCTTACACGAGCCCCACTGTCCTGGTTCAAAATGACCAGTCCAGTCCTAGCCCGGGAACCCCAGATGCCAATAAAAGCACACGGCCCCCTCCTGCCTGCGCCCCCAGGTGCTCTCTGCCTTCACCTCCCAGTGTGGCCCCTCAGGGCATGCCATGTACTTCCTCCAGCACCTGTGAGCAGTCAACTTCTCTTATGCAATTGCTCATGGCCTTTTGTTGAACCAGGACTGACCATCCGGTGCCGTGCTACACGCAACAAGAGCTATCTTACTAAAGTCATAATGTACACGAAATCATTATAGCAAACTTGATTCAAAAGTATTCTACTGGTGTTAGGAAACGTTCAAAGAAAATACATTTTAGAATATTAAGAAGCCTGTTGCCAAAATAAAACATTTTCCTGGGAGCCAGCGAGATTTAACAGTAAGTAGTCCCAGACGGGCTTTGCTTGGGGATTTTTTTTTTTTTTTAAGATTTTATTTATTTATTCACGAAAGAGAGAGAGAGAGAGAAAGAGAGAGAGGCAGAGCCACAGGCAGAGGGAGAAGCAGGCTCCATGCAGAGAGCCTGACGTGGGACTCAATCCCGGGTCTCCAGGATCACACCCTGGGCCGAAGGCAGTGCTAAACCGCTGAGCCACCTGGGCTGCCCCTTGCTGGGATTTTCCCGTTAAACACCCAATGACATCTGTCTGGGAGTGGAACCGACTTCTACGGATCTGAAGGAAGCCACTGCCAGGATCTTCTGCAGCCTTCCAAGATCAAGGGCATAAAAGACAGGGTTGGAGCAGAGGCATCTGTGGGGCAGGGAAGGAGGAGGGAGCACAGGAGGGAGGAGGGAGAAAAGGCAGCATTAGGGTGGCCGACTGAACAGCTCTGTGCTCCCAAGAAGCTCCCAGCTGGACGCGTGCAGTCTGGAATGTTTGGGAGCTCAGCTGAGGAAGGGTGAGCTTTGCTCGGAGCTTGGATCTTGGAAGGGAGCCCAGAGACAGTGGTGAAGGGACATGCTGTCCTCAGTGCATGTCCTCGATGCTGCCTTCTGACGGCAGTGGGACAGAGACGGGTGGCTGCGGGGCAACCATGGGAGCAGAAGGTAGCAGTGAGGTGCCTTCCACACCAGGCAGCAGCCATCAGCGCCTGGAACAAATTCTTAACACCGATGGCCAACTGATTTCAACAAGGATGTCAAGACCATCCAATGGAGTAGGAACGACTAGTCCTATCAAAAAATGCTACAGGGGGATCCCTGGGTGGCGCAGCAGTTTAGCGCCTGCCTTTGGCCCAGGGCGCGATCCTGGAGACCCGAGATCGAATCCCACATCGGGCTCCCGGTGCATGGAGCCTGCTTCTCCCTCTGCCTGTGTCTCTGCCTCTCTCTCTCTCTCTCTGTGACTATCATAAATAAATAAAAAAAATTTAAAAAAAATGCTACAGGGACATCGGAGTAGCCTCATGGGAAGAATGAACTTGGACCACCTCTCACCATACAGAGTTACCCCAAAGGAGATTGCAGACCTAATGCAAAAAAGTATAAAACTCTTGGAGGAAAACACAGATGATGGGGACTAAGGAAGGCACTTGATGGGATGAGCACTGGGTGTTATATGTTGGCAAATTGAATTTATTAATTTTTTTAAAGATTTTATTTATGTATTCATGAGAGACACACACAGAGAGAGGCAGAGACACAGGTAGAGGGAGAAGCAGGCTCCATGCAGGGAGCCCGACGCGGGACTTGATCCCAGTACCCCAGAATCAGGCCCTGGGCCAAAGGCGGTGCTAAACTGCTGAGCCACCTGGGCTGCCCTGGCAAATTGAATTTAAATAAAAAATTTAAAAGAAAAGCATTTCCCAAACATTCAAATCTTTCAAAAAAAAAAAAAAAAAAAGGAAAACACAAGATCTCTCTCATCATTTTATTTTATTTTTTTATTATTTTATTTTATTTATTTTATATTTTATTTTATTTTATTTTATTTTATTTTATTTTATTTATTTTATTTATGATAGTCACACAGAGAGAGAGAGAGAGAGGCAGAGACACAGGCAGAGGGAGAAGCAGGCTCCATGCACCGGGAGCCTGATGTGGGATTCAATCCCGGGTCTCCAGGATCGCACCCTGGGCCAAAGGCAGGCACCAAACCGCTGCGCCACCCAGGGATCCCTCTCATCTTTCTTTCTGATCTTAGGATAAGCAATGATTTTTTAGACCCTTCAAAGTACAAGCAATAAAGTGATTAATAAGGTGGACTTCATCAAAGTTAAAAACTTTTATGCTTCAAAGGACACATGGAGAAGGCGACAACACAACCCACAGAATGGGAGATGTGTGCAAGCGGCACCTGTGACAAGGGGCTGCCGTCTAGCCTACATGAAGAACTCTTCCAACACTAGAATAAAAAGACAACCCTAAATATTTTAAAAATGGGCAAAGGATATGAATAGACATCTTTCCAAAGAAGACATGCAAGCGGCCAAGAAGTACATGAGAGGTGCTCGGCGTCACTCGCCGTCAGAGAAATGCTCATCAAAACCATGTTGACAGGGACACCTGGGTGCTCAGCGGTTGAGCATCTTGCCTTTGGCTCAGGGCATGATCCCAGGATCTGGGATCCAGTCCCGCATCGGGCTCCCCACAGGGAGCCTGCTTCTCCCTCTGCCTGTGTCTCTCATGAATAAATAAATAAATCTTAAAAAAAAAAAAAAAAAGAACAAAAACCTGCATTGACAGACCCCTCGCGCCTGCTGGAAGCGGAAGGATGCTGAGGACACATGCTGGTGAAGATGTGGCAGCTGGAGCCCCCACATGTCGCTGGGGTGTGTAAAGTGACGTCCCTTTGGAAAACAGAGCAGTGGCTTCTCAAAAAGTTAAACAGAGTTCCCACACAGCCCAGCGACTCTGCCCCGATACTCACCCAAGAGAAGTGAGCACTGAGAAGTTGCACGGGGATTTTCACAGCGTTATTATTCCTGACGGCCCCACAGTGAGAACAGCCCAGACGCCAGTCACTTGGATATGAGAAGGAAAATGTGGTCCACCCGCACAATGGACGGCTCTTCCTCCATAAAAACAAATGAAGTCTGGTATACACTACAGGGTGCCAGGGGGAAGATGCCAGAGGCAAAAAGTGCCCACGTAGGGGCACCTGGGTGGCTCAGCTGGCTGGGCATCTGCCTTTGGCTCAGGTCACCTCAGGGTCCTGGGATGGAGCCCCGCATCGGGCTCCCTCCTCCGTGGGGAGTCTGCCTCTCCCTCAGTTCATCCTCTCTCTTTCAAATAAATAAAATCTTAAACTAAATAAATAAATAAAAGTACCCATGTAATACACCTCATTTGCACACACTGTTCAGAATAGGCCAAAATACTGGCAGATCTGCCCCTGGATTAGTGGTTGCCAAGGCCTGAGACGAGGCAGCGGTAGGGGGAGGACAGTGAGTGGGGTAACAAGGTTTCTTTCTGGAATGATAAAAGTGTTCTAAAATAAGGATCACAGTGATGGCTACCTGCATCGAAGGGGACACTTCAAATGGCTGAACTTCATGGCATCTAAGTTATATAACTCAATAAAGCTTTCCTTAGAGAAGTGGCATCTCTATTTCCAGTCCTCACAGAATACTGGTTTTCGAACAGTAATCCCAGCAGATAGGTTCTTCACGCAGTTTGTACAGTTTTTTTTTTTCAGTTTGTACAGTCTGAAAGAAAACCTTATCTGTGCTCTTCGTGATTCAAAGAGGAAACAAAGGAAGAAGGAGCAGTGAAACCGCCAGCACCCATGATCATGGGCAGCGAGCAAACCCGATGAATGTATGTGCACTGTAGCACATGAATGATTTAATGTGGCGCGCTGTGAACACACCGGAAAGGGGAGTGTGTGCTACAGAAAGCCCCATCATGCCGGAGATGCTGCTGAAGCCTAAGGCTGATCGAGACAGTGAAACGGAGCAGGGAGGCGGCTGGAAGGACATACTGAAAAAACTGCTAACATCAGGAGCTATAAAGACGAATACACCTGAAGTGTTGTTTTACGATTTCAGTAGAGAAGGAAAGGAAACACCACAAACTATGTATTTACATTCTCATCTACCCAACACAAAATCCAGGTCTCAACAAAGAAACCAAAACACAAGTGCATCTCCCTCCTCAGCCCAAGGCCACCTCCAGCTCCACATGTAATGCACAAGTTATAGGAGAGTCTTCACAGCACAGATTAAGTAGATTTCTACGATGTTTTCTTTTTCTTTTAAAAATAAAACCCATTTATAAAGTAACCACCCCGCGTGGCAGCTAGGATCAGGACGAAAGGACTCTAGGAAATAGTTCCAGGATATTCTAAACGTGAACAAGGGAAAAGGGAGCAGAGACCCGGAGCCTTCGCTCCTTACACTCATCTTACAGCCACTGGCAAGACTGCACGCGCACCAGGCATGTCACCCGAGGAGCAGCTGGGCGTCTGAAGTACCAGCAGCCAACGACTGAGCTGTTGATTTTCCCGGATCTGTTGCTTCATTATATTGAAAGGTTTTTTTCTACCTGATTTTTTTAGATTAAAAGGAGTGTGATGCCACCTTCCTTTTTTTTTGCCACTTTCCATTTTCCCACCCCACACCCCCGCCAAAAAATATGATACATACAAAAAAATTTTCCACTTGAAATTCGTAAGTATACGGCTTTAAGGGGATAGAGAGCCGTCCTTCGGAAGCTGGGGAGAATCCAACGGAGAACTGGCAGCGCAGAGAAGGGGGAGGCTCCCGCGTCCACTTCAGCTCCCACACAAAGAACACTGACTGCTTGCTGTAGATGTGCTGCAAAGAGAGTCACTGTCATTGCACACACAGACACAGCCCACACCGCGCCTCGGCTGCGCTCCAAGCCGCACTGCCCAGCCACCTGCCACGACCCTGCCCCCTGGTGCTCCCATGTGGGTCACCCTGGAGGCCTGTGGCCACAGCCCCACCCACAGCCCCCTGCCCGCCTTGCCGCAACGAGATTGGGCAAAGCTAGTTACAAAGTTTTAAACTTTTGTGGTGCCCAGGTGGCTCAGTCGGTTAAGTGCCTGCCTTCAGCTCAGGTCATGATCCTGGAGTCCTGGGATCAAGCCCCATGTTGGGCTCGGCCTGGAGCTGCTAGACATTCCCCCTGCCCACCCCCCTCATGCTGAGGCACACACACTCTCTCTCTAAATAAAACAGAACATTTATTTGTGTGTAGTACCTCATTCATTTCCAAAACAGAAATGCCATCAACCAATCAAAAAGGGCATCTTTGCGTTCATGCAAAGTACTTTGCATTTAATGTTAACTTAAACACAGAATAAGCACCATCTCATGCCTAATGTCCACACCTACAAACACAGGGACAGGCTGGGCCAGCATTTGAAATGGGTGGAATCTTAGCCGGGGAAAAAGTCCTTGAAAAATGCTACTGATCAAACATCCCAAGAAAACCTTTTATCTCCTAAACACTCAGCATTTACTGCCAAAAACACACATGAAAAAAAAAAAAACCACACATGACAAACGAGTATTTGAAACAGGAAGGTGAGCAGTAGCCAGGCAGCGTGAACACAAGTAGGACTCTTTCACACGGCTACACCAACACAGGGTTTCCTCCTTGGGCGCGGACAGGCGTTTAGCTCCGGGCGGACGGGAGTGAGGGTGTCCATGCAATCAACACGGAGCTCTAGAATGACCCTATAGTTACATAAATCTGTGCGCCAGTAGGACAAGTTTAATTCTTCCACAAATATAAACATCATTCTATTTCCCAATCCATCCACCATGCTGCTCGGAGCACGGAATGAAACCCAAACATGCACATCCAGCCACAAAGCTGCAGTTTCAGAGCCCTTGGGAATGTGCTTGTGCTTCCTGCTGTTTACTTCTCCCAGTTTTTGTGTTGCCAGAGTCCCTCTACAAACACACTGTGTTTTCCTCAGAACTTTCTAGATACTCCTCCATCACACTCTCGCTCCCCCTATTCTCTGCCCCATTCTGGAGAAGGGTTACCTGCGGGGTCTTGGTGTTCAGTGGTACCAGCTGCAGGTCACTACTACTGCCAGTATCCACAAGGTTACCGTCAGACAGCTGAAAGTCAAGTTCTGACAAGTTCTGGACACAAACTTGAATATATTTCCTAAAGCAGAAAAACAAAAAAGACGATTTTGAAATCTAAGGATTTTAATAAATGTATTTTGATTGAGAAGACCGTCTCTGGGGAATTGAAAGAGTGACAAAGTAAAATAAGAACCAGTTGCTAAAAAAAATAAAGAAAAAAAGAAAGAAAAAAAAAGAACCAGTTGCTACCTATATTTCTGCTTCTGACCTCACAGGGGAAAGTGTCCCCCAAAATCAAATCTTCCCGAGCAAGCCAGTTCTGAGGGAAAATGGATCAAAGAATGCTCTGCTTGTGACCCATGTTATTACATGATCAGAACTGGCTTTCCTAAACAAGCAGCAGCTTGCAGTAGGTGAGGAAAGTGCTCGCTACACCAGACACACAGGGTTCCCATCAGTCAGTCCCTGTCACATGGGAAGAGGAGTCTGAAAAGCCAGTGTGAAAGGAAGCAACCCAACTTCTGTTTAGCAGTGTTGGTGTCTTTAGCCATTCCTACCTACAGTCCCATCCCCATAACAGGAAGGGCAAGAAAGCAAGCTGCTAGTATAATGTTGTACTCTACATACAGTTCTGGCATTTTTATTACTAATTTGTGCAAATGTCAACAGATGAAAGCAAAAGGAATTCCACAGTGAGAGGCCAGACTCAGCCCTGAGCCCAGGGGTCCATGCGCACACCATCACTGATGGGGGACAGGCCGAAGGACAAAGCACGGGGCTCCACCTCCAAACAGTCTCCTCCAAAGGCAGAGCTGGAGCCTAATCCAGCTTCCAGAGCAGTGAGTGCTTCTCAACTGGAGGCAATTCTGGCCTGCAGGGGACATCATGCCGCATCTCAAGATATATTTTTGGTTGTCACGAAAGGGGTGGGGAGGATGGAGAGTGCTGCGGGCATAGAATGGGAGAGCCAGGGGTGCTGCATGTGCAGGACAGCAACCCCCCAGCCCCACAAATGAGGAGTTCTCAGACCCAAAGTGTGAGTAGCTCTGAGGCTGAAAACCCCGCCCTTGAGGCAATCAGCAGGTGGCAGAGAGCCACAAGAATGTGACCAAACTCGGAATGGTAAACCTTCTTTCTAAAGGAAAACTGAGAGGATGGATCAGCAGTTTAGCACCTGCCTTTGGCCTGGGGCGTGATCCTGGAGTCCTGGGATCAAGTCCCATGTCAGGCTCCCTGCATGGAACCTGCTTCTCCCTCCTCCTGTGTCTCTGCCTCTCTCTCTCTCTGTGTCTCAGGAATAAATAAAATCTTTAAAAATAAATAAGAAATAAAGGAAAACCAAACCAAGTTCGGCAATGGGTCACTGGCTTGACAAATAGAAGGAGAGATGAAGAAGGATCAGGGCCTTGGTGTGGATCCCATGTGCTACAAACCAACTGCCCGAAGTCCTTTAGAGGCTGCTGGGGAACCCTGAGTGTGGACTGGCTGTTGTAGCACAGCAGGGAGTCACGAATCAGAACAAGGGGACTACGATGTCATGGTTGCATAAGAAAGCACACTCAGCGTCACTGAGGCCAAGCTCTGAGCAGCAAGAGTGTCCATGCAGGAGAGCATGGCACGGGAGTGGGGCCCAGAGTGCGCCTTTACCGTGTGCCGGCTGACAGGAGCGAGTGTGTGGTCCTGAAGGGCACGCTGAAGGTCAGGGCGATGACGGTGGAGTAGATGGACCACGGGCAGTCAATGGACACCTGAGGAGAAACACAGGGCCGCGCGTTCAGACCACCTGCCTGACCACAGCCATCAAAGCAGCCACCCAGGTCAGCAGCGGCCGCCAAACTGATGGCCTTCCCACTTCCTATCTAGAAAGCAAACCCCCATTAAACGTGTGCATAAACAAAGCAGAAACGTAAAGCTACACACCCAGACAATACTAAACACGAGAGTAGCCAGACATCTGTGAGTCACCAGAAGGGTCTCGGAAGCTCTGGGCCATATGCCCCACCTCGCGCTTCCCACACTGACACGGCCAGACGGGTTTACTAACACGCAGGACGTTATGACAAAGTGCTTTTAGTCACTTCATTAATATGACATGATCAATCAGTAACTATCACAAAATTAAATGAGTTGTCCAAACACTGTACACAATGAACGTATATAGGAAGGTAGGCAATCCTGGGGGCAGAGCGTGGGCCAAGCCACTAACTGCCCTAAGGGCACCGGCCTGCCCTTTGAGGTCCCCCACAGGACAAATGAATACACCAAGCATAGACCAGTGTTCAGCCAGCACTGGTTTTCAGCCTCCTGAATTCTGTTACCAGATAAGGAAAAAAGAAATTTCAGGGAATGAAAATTTAAAATGTTACCCTTAGGTGCTGGCCGGTCTAATGTTCTATGCCATAACGTCTTTGCTATGACTATTTGTTAGCCTTTTGTTCTACTGTTTTTGTGCATGCATGTCTTTTTTTTTAATGATTCAACTTATTTAAACTAAAAAACAAAACAAAAAAGTTCATCCATTTCTCCTAAACCCCACCCCATCCTAGGCACCCATCAATCTGCTCTCTGAGCTTGATTTTAGTTTTTTTTCAGATTCCACATATAAGAGAGATCAAATTGTATTTATTTTTCTCTTATTTCACGAAGCTTAATGCTCTCCAGGTCCATCCATGTTGTTGCAAATGGCAAGATTTCCTTCTTTTTGGTGGTGAATAGTATTGCCCTGAGCACATACACAATGTTTTCTCTATCCATTCATCCATCCTCGGACACTTAGGTGGTTTCCATGACTTGGCTATTGCAAATGATGCTGCAGTGAACATGGAGGCGCAGACAGCTTTTCAGGTAACTTCATTTTCTTGAGTCAACACCTAGTAGCGTGAATGCTGGATCATATAGGGTAGTTCTATTTTTAACGTCCTGAGGACCCTCCATTCTGTTTTCCAGAGTCGCTTCACCAGTTTGCATTCCCACCAACAGGGCACGAGGGTTTCCCTTTCTCCACATCCTCGTCAACCTGATTAGTGATGTCGAGCATCTACATGTCTTCTCCAGAAAAATATTCAGCCTCTGCACATGTTTTAGTCAGACTGTTGCGGGTTTTGCTACTGAAGTTATAGGAGTCCTTTATATATTTTGGGTATTAACACCTTATCAAATACATGATTTACAAGTATTTTCTCCCATTCCGTGGTTGTCATTTCATTTTGTTGATGGTCTCCTTTGCTGTGCAGAAGCTTTTTAGGTTGATGGAGTCCCAAAAGTTCACTTTTGTTTTTGTTGCCAGATCCATTAAATCATCGCCAAGACCAGGATCAAGGAGCTTACCACCTATGTTTTCTTCTAGAAATTTTATGGTTTCAGGTCTTACATTCTAGCTTTAAACCATCCAAAAAAAAAAAAAAAAAGGTAACTCAAAATGGATTAAAGGCAAGAGTCCAGTTTCATTCTTCTGCATGTGGCTGTCCAGTTTTCCCAACACCATTCATTTGAAGACACTTTTTTCTCCACTACACATTGTTGGCTCCTTTGTCATAAATTAATTGCTCATATATATGTGGGTTTATTTATTCTGTTCCACTGATCTGTATATATCCTTTTATGCTGCTCCCATAGTGTTTTGATAGCTACAGCTCTGTAATACAGTTTGAAGTCAGGGAGCATGATGCCTCCAGCGTTGTTCTTTCTCAAGATTGCTTTGGGTATTTGGAGTCTTTTGTGATTTCATACACATTTTAGGATTATTTGTTCCATTTCTATGAAAAATATTGGATTTGATAGGGATTATGCTAAATCTATATATTGCTGGGTAGTATGGACATTTTAACAGTATTAAATCTTTCAATCCAAGAGCTTAGAATATCTTCCCATGTATTTGTTTCTTACATTAATGTCTTATAGTTTCCATTATATGTGTCTTTCACCTCCTTGGGTTAAGTTTATTCCTAGGTATTTTATTCTTTACAACTTCAATGCAATTGTAAATGGAATTGTTTTATTTCTCTGATAGTTCATTATTAGCATACAGAAACACAACAGATTTCTCCATATTTATTTTGTATCCTGCAACTTTACTGTATTTATTGTAAGTTTTTTGATGAAGTCTTCAGGTCTTTATATATATAGTATGTCATCTGCAAATAGTGACATTTTACTTCTTTCCTCCCAATTAGCATGCCTTTTATTTCTTTTACTTGACTAATTGCTCTGGCAAGGACTTCTGGTACTATGTTAAACAACAGTGATTAACAGTGATTCAGAGTGGGCATCCTTTTGTTCCTGATCTTAGAAGAAAGGCTTTCAGTATTTCACCATTAAGCATGATAACAGCTAAGGGCTTATCATGTATGGCCTTTATGTTGATGTATGTTCCCTCTATATCTACTTTGTTGAGTTTTTATCGTAAACAGATACTGAATTTGGCCAAATGCTTTTCCCGAGTCTACTGAGATGATCATAAGATTTTCATTCTTTACTTTGTTACTGTGGTTTATCACACTGATTGATTTGTGGTTGATGAACCATCCTTGCCTCCCTGAAATAAAGCCCATTTGATCACGTATATGATCCTTTTGGTGTATTGTTAAATTCGGTTTGCTAAGGTGTTTTTGAGGCTTTTTACACATATGTTCATCAGAGATACTGGCCTGTAATGTTCTTTTCCTGTGGCATCCTTTCTGGTTTGTAAACATTGGCCTCAAAGAATGAGTTTGGAAGAGTTCCCTCCTCTTCTGTTTTTCGCAAGAGTTTGAGAGGAACTAGTATTAATTAATTCTTCTTTGAACATTGGATAGGATTCAACAGTGAAACCACCTGATCCTTGTTTGTTGGGATGTTTCTGATTTCTGATTCAGTCTCCTTACCAGTAATCAGTCTGTTCAGATTTTCTATTTCATCATAATTCACTCTTGCTAGGTTGTGTGTTCCTAGGAATTTATCCATGTCTTCTAGATTGTTCAGTGTGTTGGCATATAGTCAGTCATAGTAGTCTCTTACAATCCCTTGTATTTCTGCGGTGTCAGCTGCAACATCTCTTTGATTTCTGACTTGAATCCTCTCTATTTTGGCGAGTCTAGCAAAAAGTCTGTCAATTTTACCTTTTAAAAAAACCAGCTCTTGGCTTCACTGATCATTTCTATTGTCTTTGTAGTCTAATGCATTTATTTCTGTTCTAATGTTTGTTATTTCCTTCCTTCTACTAACTTTGGGCTGTTTGTTCTTCTTATTCTAGTTCCTTACGGTGTAAAGTGAGGTTGTTTGAGACGTTTCCTATTTTTTTTTTTAAGATTTTATTTATTCATGGGGGGGTGGGGAAAGAGGGAGAGAGAGGGAGAGAGACGGAAGGAGGGAGGGAGAGGGAGAGAGAGAAATGCAGAGAGACAGGCAGAGGGAGAAGCAGGCTCTAGGCAAGGAGCCCAACATGGGACTTGATCCCGGGTCTCCAGGATCACGCCCTGGGCTGAAGGCGGTGCTAAACCACTGAGCCACCTGGGCTGCCCACATTTCCTCTTTCTTAAAGTAGGTCTATACTGCTATGAACTTCCCTCTTAGAACTGTTTTTGCCACAACTCATAAATTTTGGCATGTTACATTTCCATTTTCATTGGTCTCAAGGTTTGTTTTGATCTCTCTTGATGTGATCTTTGGCCAATTGGTTGTTCAGTAGCATGTTGTTTAAACCCCCACATATTTGTGAATTTTTCCATTTTCTTCATGTAATTAATCTCTAGTTTCATAGTGTGGTGTCAGAGAAGATGCATGAGGTGACTTTAACCCTCTTAAATTTATTAAGACTTGTTTTGTGGCCTAATACACAATCTGTCCTGGAAAAATGTTCCATGTACACTTGAGAAGAATGTGTATTCTCTGTTGCCTTTGGATGAATGTTCTGTAAATATCTGTTAAGTCTACTTGGTCTAATGTGACACTTAAGGCTAGTGTGTCCTTACTGATTTTCTGTCTGGGAGATCTATCAATTAACATAAATGTGGTATTAAAGTGTTGTTGAGGATTTCTGCACATATGTTCATCAGAGATACTGACCTGTATCTTCTTTGTCTTTTGTTATAATCTTTATTTTCAAGTCTATTTTGTCAGATAAAAGCAGAGCTGCTCCAGATTTCTTTTAGGTTTTGGTTTCACTTTAGTCTGTGTGCCCTGTCTGAAGTCTCTTATAAACAGTATATAGATAGGTCTTGATGTTTTTTTACCCATTCAAACCACTCCTTGTCTTTTGATGGGAAAAGTTAGTCCATTTACATTTAAAGTAATTGTGGGTAGACATGTGCTTGGTGCCATTTTGGTTAATTGTTTTCTTTCAGTTTTTGTAGTTTCTGTTCCTTACTTCTCTGCTTTCTAATCCTTAGCGGTGTGATGCCTTTCCTTAGCAGTATGCTTATATTTCCTTTTCTTTATCTTTTCTATGTTTGCTACAGGCTTCTGCTTTGTGGCTACCATGAGGCTTACATGTAACAACTTATTAATCTACTATAAGTTAATAACTTATTTCTAAAGCTCAATATTTTTACTCTCCCTTGCCCCCACATTTGATGTTTTTTTCCTTTGATGTTTTTGATGTCACATTTTACATCTTTTTATCTGTGTATTCCTTAACTATTGTCATCATAGTTGTTTATACTACCTATGTCTTTTAACCTTCAGAGTAGCTTTATAAGTGCTTAACCCATTATACTTTTCCTATGTATTTATCTTGTCAGTGAGATTTATTCTTTCACATGTGTTCTTGTGAATATCCTTTCTTTTCAGCTTAAAGAAGTCCCTGGAACATTCCTTATAAAGCCAGGTAAGTGGTGAGGAACTCCGTTAGCTTTTGTTTCTCTGGAAAACACTTTATCTCTCATCACTTCTGAATAATCACTTTGCCTGGGCAGCCCGGGTGGCTCAGCAGTTTAGCGCCTGCCTTCGGCCCAGGGTGTGATCCTGGAGACCCGGGATTGAGTCACGGTGGGCTCCCTACATGGAGCCTTTCTCCCTCTGCCTGTGTTTCTGCCTCTCTCTCTCTCTCTCTCTCTCTCTCCCTGTGTGCGTCTCATGAATAAATAAATAAAATTTTTAAAAAATAATAATAATCACTTTGCCTAACAGAGTATTATTCTTAGTTAGAGATTTTACTTTCAGCACTTTGACTGACTGACTTTCAGGTCAGTTCCCCTGACCTGCAAAATTTCTGCTGAAAAATCTACCATTAGACTTAGGGGAGGGTTCCTTGTATGTAATAAATTGTTTTTCTCTTGCTGTCTTTTTATTTTTTTTAATCTCTTTCCCCCCTGCCCCACCCCATCTCTTGTTGCTTTTAAGATCCTCTCCCAGTCTTTAATTTTTGACATTTAATTATAATGTGCCTTGGTGTGGGTTTCTCTGGGCTTCTTGGATCTGGATATGCTTCCTTCTACAGATTAAGAAATTTTCAGCCCTTACTTCTTCAAGATTTCTTACCTTTTCTCTCTCTCTCTTCTCCTTCTGGAAGCCCTATGATCCAAATAACAGTCTGTTTCCATTTGTTCTATAAGCCCCTAAGCTATCTTCACTTTTTTCATTCTTTTTTCTTTTTGCTGTTCTGATTGACTGAGTTCCACTGCCTTGACTTCAAGCTGATTGATCCTTTCTTCTGCTTCATCTAGTCCATATTTCAGTTCAGCTATTGGAGTCTTCACTCTGTGACTTCTATCTGTACATTCTGATACTTTCCATTTCTTTGTTAGGTTCTATGTTCATCTGTTTTTCTCTCATGTGGTGAGCATCTTCATGAGCATTACTTTGAACTCCTTATCAGGTAAATTTCTTTTCTCCAATTAAGATTTTTTTTCCTGAGGTTTTACCCTGTTATTCCATCTCTGGAATATATTCTTCTGTTCATCCTGCTGGACTTTCTGTGTCTATATAGTACATGGCATAACCACCTTTCCCAGTCTTAGAGGTGCAGCCTAATGTAGGAGCTGAGCCTCATAATTCAATCTTGTTCCAGTTCTTGGTTGTCGCTCAAACCTTTGTGTTGTCCAAGGGCTTACTATATTTTTAATACCTCCTAGCAGGTGAGGCATGTGCCAAGACTTGTCATTGTCCTAGAGGGGAGTATCTCAGCACCTAGACACAGGGTGACTGGAAGCCAGACCCACAGGCAGCAGCTTTTTAAAGTATGCAAATACGTATACTCCTATGGGACTGCAAGCATACAGTTCTACATGTGGACTGCAAGGGTACAGTTCTATGTGTTAAAAAGTCCTCAGGGCATCCCTGGGTGGCTCAGCGATTCGGTGATTTGGTGCCTGCCTTCAGCCCAGGGCGTGGTCCTGGAGTCCTGGGATCGAGTCCCACATCGGGCTCCCTGCATGGAGCCTGCTTCTCCTTCTGCCTGTCTCTGCCTCTCTCTCTGTGTGTCTCTCATGAATAAATAAAATCTTAAAAAAAAAAAAAGTCCTCAGAAGTGGTATTTATAAGACATGGACACACCTGAAAAAGCACAATGGTAGAGATGCGTTCCTTGAGCTGAGGATCTGGGACAAAAGTTCATGGATCTTTCAGGCAACTGTCAATAAACACCAACATCAAAGCATATAATGATAGAGCTTCCTCTTTGCTAAGTCTGACCTGACTTTCAGTGGACAGAAACCAAAGCATGTCAAGACACAGAACTCACTCTAGCCTGTTCACCAAGACAAATGGACTACAGACCCAAACTTACCTCCCCTAAGCAAACATTCTCTCTCTTCTAATAAACTGTCCTCCCCTCTGGAATTGGTATAGAAAATTTAGAGCCTGTTTGGCTTTGTCCTTGCAAGGTGTACCCTTTATCTAAGAAGGGGTGATTCAAAGATATAAATGCTAACCCCAATGAGAGGATGTGGAATCGGGAATGGGAAGTGTGCCACTTCGACACAAATCATCTCTTAAGTACCATCTTTCAGAACAAGCACGAAGGCAGAGGCTGCCAGCGCAGGCTGGGCACTTCCAGCCCTCCTTACTTTATGGTCTGTGGTAGCCATGCAGTGGCCAGCTTTCTGTGTGTCCTTATGCTTCCTGTGGGGCTCTGTTACCCCCAGCGTGCTGCTGTCTCCTCCAGTTACTGGAGCTGAAGGTAAAGAGAGAACTTCCAGTTCAAATTCAATCATGTGGTACGCAGGAGCAGCAGGCAGGCTGATGCTTGTGACCTTGTCAGACGACTGAACCCGGAGCGACACATCAGAAGCCTTTTCTAGGAAAGACAGAAAAAGTCACTTCTAACACATTCCCTGTGTTTCCTTGTTCCTTTCTCTTCTAGTAGGTGACAGGCCCAGCCCAACTCCCGCTGCTCCTACGCACCTGGAAGAGTGTATCTAAGAAGGATTAAGGTGGGAGGGCAGAGGCAGGAAAATGAGAAACGAACACCCTCTCAGACACTAATGTCGTATAAGTTGGCTGGTTGTAGACCAGACACGGCCACTGCGCTAAGCCTAAACACAGAGAAGGGACACTTCCCACGCGGCCCACCCATGTGCTGTGTGTTTCCCTGTACAACATGCTCCCATTCCACTCCACTATCAGACTGGCTCCCATCCAGAATGAGAGCAGGTCCTTGCGTCTCCAGACCTCCTGCCTGGGAACCAGGGGTGACGGGACTTTTCTAGGGCTTCTGGCCAGTGCCTGAAAAGGCCTATTTTCTTTTACTTCTCGGTGAGGAGGGTAAAGGAGGTAGGAAGAGACTGCAGGTTGGCAAGGCTTCATCTAGGACCAGGGGCCCTGTCCGTGATGCTGCATCAGAAGCCCTTAGCTAGGTCACACCGCCTGGCCACCCAGCACACACATGGCTTTGCCTATTCATCCCAAATACGAAGGCCCGCCCAAGGTCAGGGTCCCAGCCCACCTACAGGCAGGACGTTGCCAAGAAAGAGTCGCAGGGAGAAGGGATCCTCAGACACCGCCTGCGGATGGCCGGGACCACGGGCGCCTTACGGCCTCACAGTGCGCAACAATGGCAAGGGTCCGCCTTCACCGGGTGACTGCCGCCTCACCTCTTGTGTTGGAGTAGATCACTGCTCTGTTCTCTGCATGACACAGGATGAGCATGGCTTCTGCGTTGCTGAGCTGGAGGCTGTCCCCGTTTTTTACTGTATAATGGCCAGTAGTGACAGTGAACTTTACTTTCTGAGGAATACCAGCCAAAAGGCTATCTGAAGGGAAAAAGACGGCAATCAGCATCACGATCAATCAACGGAGGGCCTGGTGTGAGGTTAAGAGGGTGCTCTGCTTCTTCTGTTAGAGGGCTGTTCCCTGCAGATACTCCCCGTTTCACTCCTGTTCCACCCATCCACCCTCACTTTTCATCTCGATTACAAGGATGCAGAGTTGAGGGGGGCCTTGCTGGCAACATGAGAACCTGAGTCTCAGGGACACCAGAGACAGAGTCAGGGCTCACGGTGGCAACCACATCTATGAACGTCCCAAAATGTTAGTGAGAGAGATGCAGGTAAGGAGGCTAAAGAACAGACTAATGAAATCGAATGTACTGGTGCTACTCAGAATTGTTCTGGCTTTTCTAGGTCAGACCTTCAGGACCCACTGGGTGGAAGGTGCGGCTACTGCTTTCCTCGGGACAGAAATGGGGAGGGCGGAGATGGGCTGAGGTCCCCCGGAGTCCTGAGCCAGGGCAGGCAGAAGGGAGAAGGTGAGAGATCAGGACCCAGGAGGAGGAGTGGCCAGATGAGAGGGACGGGAAGGCACGGGCAAGAACAGGAGTGAGGGCTGTGGACAGGAGCAGGGGCGGGAGCACCAGCGGCTGGTCCCGGGTGAGGTTTGGGGTGTCCCAGGCCCTCAGAGTGGCGGTGCTCAGCTCTCCTCGTGAGCGCTCCTCCAACGGAACCGTCAGAGAGGCTGGGCGACATCTCAAGGCCTTTCCTGGCGGCCGGGGAGACTTCAAAATCAGAAAAGTAAGGAGTATGGACACACTGAAAAAAATGCCTTCCTTGAATTTTTTTCCCAAATCAAGAAATGAGCCAAATAAATACATCCTGTTCAGCCTGAACTGAGAAATTCACTCGTTAGCGTTTTAATCGAGTGCCACATGGTCTTCGATCATTTGTTTCTAACTCCTTCCAATTGTAGGACTTAAAGGAGGGGAGGACAGAAGCTTTGGATGGGGCTCCCGTGTAGGGAGGGAAGCGCAGCGCGGCTCGCGGTGGCAAGAGCAGCCCGGCTCCCCCAGCGGCCCACTCACCGGCCAGCGGCTCCACGTGCAGCTGCGGCTCCTGAGAGTACACGTCGTACTGCACCCGTGGGGACAGGTGAGGCAGGACGAACCACACGGGGCCCACTGAGGCGCGCAACTGCCGCAGCGTGTATGTTCCAGGCTCCTTGGCCTACGGTCAAAGTCGGGTGTTCAGAAAGTTACCCCCCGCTCTTGTAATGGACTTCCCAAGGGAAGGATGCGCCACCATCCCTGAGATGCCCGTTTTCCTTACCCTCTCACCTATTACTCGATGGTTCTACCTCAGCCTGCGGGCCATTCGCCAGAGCCCTCAGAGTCTCTTGGTTGAAAATTTTCTGAATAACTGATGCTTAAATCTCCCTGTCCGCTTCTAAGAACGTACTTTCAATTTAATAAATGTCATCTGTGGCATTCTCTTCTGAAAGGGGTCTTTTTTTTTAAAGATTTTATTTATTTATTCATGAGAGACAGAGAGAGAGAGAGAGGCAGAGACGCAGGCAGAGAGAGAAGCAGACTCCATGCAGGGAGCCCGACACGGGACTCGATCCCGGGTCTCCAGGATCACGCCCTAGACTAAAGGCGGCACTAAACCGCTGAGCCACAGGGGCTGCCCTGAAAGAGGTCTAATGCATCCTTCTGCCTGAGATCTGAGACCTGCTCTGAGCCTAGACTAAGGCCTAGTGACAGCAGCTGCACTTTGCACTGGCTGAGTCCTCGTGGGTCAAGGGGGCCTCACGGGACACGCTGCCTGAGGGGAAGATTTGTATTAGAGCAGGTGCTGCTGTTTTGATATCCATGCAGCCAGTGAAAGGAAAACAAAGTTTGACATGAAACCGTGCCATCTTCTCTGGAATGTCATTTCAACAAATGAGGGTATATTTTAATACAAAGGGGAAAAACTCTCAATCCAGTGAGAGCAAAAATAATTACCCACAGTAAGAACTTCTTGCAAAATGCATCAACTGTCATAAAATTGTGTGCATATAAAAGATTTTTTTAAGTCTTAGGCTATTTTTTTTTTAAGGATATAAACAAAAACGAGGGTAACGCGCCGAGGCCTCTACAGGATTCTCAGCACACTTCCAACGGCTCTGGCGAGCTTGAAACCCTTTCTGACCATCTTTCAAGTCAGCTCCTCACCCCGACATCTACCTGTGTCCTGAACGTGATCCTATTGGCCCCCGGCTCCAGTGTTACGCCGCTGCATTTCAGCACGTGGGCCCCATCCTCCAGAGCCACTCCTGACGGTGTTTCCAGAGAAGCGCTGCTCTCCTGCCTTCTCAGGAGCATATGGACATTTTTGCATATAATCCCTGTTGTGTTCAAGGAATTATCAGAAGGACTCCTCTCGAACATCTCATACAACTCCAGCGCTGGTAAGTTGTTTTGGGATGCGGGGAAAGGCGAGGTCTCCACCGGAAAGTTAATAATCCCGTTGGACGTCTTGTGCTTGGTAAGCCACTCAGCGGTCTTCCGGTAGTTGTTTTTCTCGATGCTGAAGTGGACGTTGATGGCGATCTGCTCCACGTAGACGGGGATGGGCATCTGACTGCACATGGTTATCTCCACGGACAAAACACCGCCCACGTGGACCACAGCGTTGGAAGGGGTAAAATGGAGGTCTCTCAGTTGTGCAAAACAATGCAGAGGGAGTACTATTTTGTGACCTGTAAATGCACATCACCACGAGTTACTCACCATGTCTCACTCTAGACCACCTAGAGGCAGCAGGGCCTTGGTTCCTGCCAGGCCTGTTGGAATAGACTCAACGTGACAGGCAAGAAGCACTGCTATTCAAGAGAGACGGCCTAAAACTTCCCGACCCCATACTATCTTCACACACCAAAACACGTTATATTGTCAAAAGGAGAACATAAACGGGTGTCTAGATAGCTCCTGGAAATCATAAAATCTGAAAATTAAGGACTGTAAGTTCTGAACCTGAATTTCAAAACAATATTAGTAAACAGTCCAATCGTCAGAGCTGTTTTGAAGAATCCCACCACTTTCTCACCTACATAAAGAAATTCTCAAGTAAAGATGTCTATATCCACCCATCCTCTACCCCCCCCCCCAATATATCTGGAAATAAACCCAGGTGCTTGCCAACCTATGAAGTCAGCTAATGAAGTGGGGAGCCCCACCTCCTAAACTCCAAGAGGGCACTGAAGCCCCAGCCCCACAGTGACTACAGGGCAGCACATACTCTGGCCTCCTTTCTACAAGCACCTGGCTTGTTGAGAAAATCCTAAGGCTACCGGACTGACTGGTTAAGTGTTTATAAATACCAACCAACTAAAGGAAGGATGTGCGGAGATTAGTGTCCTAAAAGCACAAAAAAACAGTGAACAACCACAGAATATTTTATTCATACAGAGACGTCAAGGAATGCTGGCAGGAGAAGCAAAACTCCACAGGATCACAGACCTATCACGAGGTTCTACCAATGACCATTCTGGACACGTTACAGAATCTACAAAAACAAACCAGGCCCTGTTGCTCCGGGGAAACCCATTTAGAGGGCTCAATGTGAGTGAAATACACCCCAGTAATCAACGACCCTATCTACCTAAGGCCAAAATCTTTGGAAACACTGGGCTTTCAAGAAGTTAGTAAGCGCTATGGGCTGCACTGTGGTCCCCCTCTGAAGTGGAAGCCCAAACCCCCAATGTGACGGTACATGGAAGGGGGTCCTTTGGGAGATAATCAGGTTTACGTGAGGTCATGAGGAATTAGTGTCTTTCTCAGAGGAGACACTGCAGTGGTCCCTTGCTCTCTCCTCTCCGCCCTCCCCACCCCAAGCCCGTCTCTGTCCTTGTCTCTCCCACTGCCACGTGAGGACACATCATAGAGAGACGCATCATCAGAAACCAACTTTGCTAGCACCTTGACCTTGGACGCCTGGCATCCAAGATGGTGAGAAAGAATGTCTGATGTTTAATGTAAGCATTTGGTCTCTGGCATTTGCTTATTGCAGCCCGGGTTGACTAAGGCAGTAATTATTTTACATAAGTACTCTCCTTGATCAACTAGACGCGAGGAGCTAAATGTCACAATAAATTTAACTTCACCACACCACACCATCTGTGAAGTAAATCTGCCAAATCATTAGCCTAAATCTAAGCCTTTCAGACCTACCTTCCTGCAGATGCTCCTATGAGGAGACACTCAACAAATTCCAGAAGGTGGGAAAGCCCATGAGGTAACTGACTCCAAGTCTTTAAAATGTCAGTGCCTTAAACCCAGATGTCACATAACTGAATGGATAAATGGAACGTGTCCATCTCTACCACGGACTATTACTCAGCCACAAGAAGGAATGAAGCACGGACACAGGCTTTGACATGGGTGAGTCCTAACAACAAGATGCTCGGTGACATACTGTAGTCACAAAGGATCCCACGTGGTATGGTTCCACTCGCATGAAATACCCAGAATAGGGGTCTATAGAGATACAAAGTGGATCAGTGGTTGCCAGGGGCTGGTGGGGGTGGCAGGAGGAAGGCTGGAAGAAATATGAGGCTTCTTTTTGGGGAGATAAAAATGTTCTAGAATTAACTCTATAGCAATGGCTGCTCATATTTGTGAATATACTCAAAGCCACTGATTGTGTACTGATTGTACACTGTAAATGGGTGAATTCTATGTCAGTAAAGCTGGCATATTAAAAAAGGAAACAGAAATGGGAAGAACTAGGGGATCCCTGGGTGGCTCAGCGGTTTGGCGCCTGCCTTCGGCCCAGGGTGTGATCCTGGAGACCAGGGATCGAGTCCCATGTCGGGCTCCCTGCATGGAGCCTGCTTCTCTCTCTGCCTTTTTTTATGTCTCTCTCTCTGTCTCTCATGAATAAATAAGTAAAATCTTAAAAAAAAAAAAAAGAAAAAAGAAATAGGAAGAACTATTCTAAATTAAAAGAGAACTGAAGTATAGCAATCAAAGGCAGCAGCATCCCCAACTCGACTCCACTAAACATTAGAACTTTGTTAGAACCTCGTTCTTCGGCTGGTTGGGGACACCTCTGATTTCAGAAGGCCACACAAAGCGGCTCCGTGGTGAAGCTCAGCAGTAAGCACGGATCCACGTTTGCCACACAGCTGCTGAGCTTAGGTGTTGAGCCGATGTCACACGCTGTGTTAGCCTTTCTACTTTGCTATAGCATTTGAACATTTTCACGATGAGAAGTTTTAAAAGTCACTCTGACCCGGGCCATGTGTCAGCTCAGTATCTCTCATAAGGAAATGGGACAAAAAACCTGATGGTCTCACCCATATATTTCTTAAATATATGACTTAAAAAACAAAACAAAGGAAGAAACAAAAAACAGACAAAACAACAGACTCCTAAATACAGACCAAAGTGCTGGAGGCAGAGGGGTGGCAGGTGGGGATGGGCAAACAGAGGGACAGGAGTGCACCTGCGGCGAGGAGGTGCTGAGCATGAGGAATGTGGAGAAGTGCTGATTCCCTCTATCCTACACCCAAACTAACAGAAAGCTGTACGATAGCTAGACTTCAATATAAACAAATAAATCAAAAAAAAAAAAAAAAAAAGGTTTGTAAAAGCCCCCCAAAGAGCGAGTCTGACCTGGGCTATCTGTCTGGCGGCTGGCAAAGCTGAGGATCTCTTGGCAGAAGTGTTTCCGCTCCTCTTCAGTTAGGTGGTGGTCGCTGGCCAAAAGGCTACTGGTCTGAAGGTAGCTGGACGGAGAGTCAAGGGGTCTGGGAAAAGGACCCCACCCCAAGTGGCGCTGGGTGCAACCCGCTCCACGGTCCCTGGAGTCCCCAGGTGCAGCCCCGTGGGGATCCTGCTTGGGCTAAGTTACCAGGAACTTAAAGGGAGATCAGACACGTCAACTCTGCACCTAATTTATCATTGGACATGGTACATAAGTACGAGGTACGCTTTTCCTCTCTGAACTACTAGGTGCTTATTAAACACCCCCTGCGGGCACAGAAACCAGGCACCCCTCTCGAGAGAATAACAGATTTAAAGGATACTTCTCAGTTTGTCCAAGATGTTTCTGACATTCGGCAAGTTGCTTCCTTGTGTGCGTGATGGGGAGCGCCCAGCCCTCAGCCAGGTAATTTTTCAATGCTCCTTGAAGATAGATTTCTGCCTTTTGTGGAGATTTTTTCCTCCTTGCAAATCAACAAACAGAAGCTGTCGTCATGGTTCACGATCATCATAACCTGCCCGCCACCCTCTGCAAGCCCATGCCATGACATTGCGCCATCCTAGTCCTTCCCTGACCTCCCCAGAGGGAGGGGCGGACCCACTCGGGAGTGCATGAGCAGACCTGACACACGTGCTGGTGAGAAGCCCTCACGCTGTGCCCAGCATCGCACCCTGGCCAAAGGACTTTCACAGGGAATCTCAGGGTGACAAGACGGCGCTGCTCCCTACTGCGAGCTGACATAGAACGCTGAGGGTAAGGCAAGGGAAGGATGTGTCCACAGGCACGCAGCTAGTTAGCCAGGAAGCTCTGAATCTCAGCCGGTGCCACACCACCCGCTGAAGACAGACACGCACAGAAGCCTTCTGCAGGGCCCAGAGGGAGACGGCGCCTGATCCACGCTGAAACTCAGGCAAACAGCCTGAGCAGGCTGCAGAGACTTACAGAGAACTCTGGAGAATTTAAATAGCAACACATATCACCCAGGAGAGGATCTTCCAGTCCCAATTTAAACTGTCAAGATGTTCAAAATAAAACAAGTTTACAGCACAGCTGAGGAGAGCCGGCCAAAGGCCTCAGTGCCGATACCCACCCGGGCCTTCCCCGAGGGGCTGCAGCTACCGAACTCATGGGATCAAGGCCAAGGCCAAACAAGCACTCCCCTTTCTAGGCACCCCTGGGAGAGAGACATCCCAGCATTCACCACCCTACTCTTATTACAGAAATGAGAGCTCTCAAATTCTCAAATTACATAAATTTTCAAGCTCTCAAACTACGTGTTGGTGGTCTTATGTCCTCGTGTTTCAGAGGGGTCAGAACCTTCAATACTTCCTCCGTCATTAGCTCCAGCCAAAGCCTCTTACGTCCTAGAGCAGGGAATCTACAGACCGTTCCTCAGCCCCGAGAGTGGAGGCCAGCGCGCCCAGCTAGTCTGTGGCAAGCTGAAGCAGCACCCGAGTCTCCGGTCAGCAGACCGGTGCCATTCCGCGGGGGCTCCCAGCCGCAGGATACACTAGCGTCCAGGCGGGCTCACTCACAACATCTGAGGCTGCGGCTTCTTTGCTGTTAACAGAACCCTTACTCCTCAGGTTCCCTAGATGGAGACTCGGGACTTGCCAAATTCGACCCCTGACTGCCCACAGCCAGGTGTGTGCCTGGCTAACTGCTCCAACCACATCTGAACACCAAGAAGTTCACTCAGATGATCTACGAATCCCTCTGCAGCCTCTTTAATCAGTGAAATTATTCTTTCTGGTTTCATCTAATAAAATTACTTCATTAATTATACATTTCAAGAAAGCATTTCAAGCACACACTTGAGACTTAAATATCGTTTCCCTTATAATTTCTATCCCTTTCCAGGGCTTGCTCTGAAATAGCAATTACGCTGCCAGATACGGTTTCTTCTCTTCAATAGGCTGATTTTATCAAGCACATGAGAAATATGCTAAGTTCTGAGTCTTTTCTCTAGCACTCAACCCTAGAGCTGGAGAGAGACCAGCAAGGTTCACGGCATTTGTACACCCTGTGGCCCCCAGGCCCAGAGCAGCCCTCTCTCGCAGACAGAAGACACGCAGGTACTGTGTATCGCTGACCTCCAGGCTTTCAATCTGCCCACGAGGCAACTGACATTACCTAGAGAAAATGCTTTATAACAGAATATTTCAGAATCTGCATCCCAATTTATGCCACTGCATAAATCTCTAACTATTCATGATTCTTTTATTAAGTAAATTATAATGCTCGGTCATCATATATGTTCTAAATACCACCTGCATATACAGAAGTACATTACGTTAATTTAATGCAATAAAAAACCCACAAAGATCGGTAACAGATATTAAGGGGGTAACAAGCTGAAAATCTCTCCATTTGGCTTTCAGAAGAAACTGAAAATAAAGCTGATGCTGACTGGTTGGCAGGCTATACATTTTCCATTCTGCATAATGATGGGCACTTCACATCAACCCCACACAAGAGAGACCCTCTCCTACTGGATGTGCGGCATGTTTGAAACCCCAAGAAACGTTCACAATCAATTACATGTAAAACTCAGCCAGGTCCTTCCCGACAAGCCTGGCAGAGCGGGTCCTCCCGATGCTCGTGTGCATCTCAATGGCAGCATGGGACAGCTCCTGCAGGGAAGGAAACGCCCGCGTCAGACCACGCTTCAACGCTAGACAAATCTTACACTTAGTCACTCAATGCTGAAGCGAAAGACCTCATTATTAATACAACATTACTGTTTACTTCACAGCTTTGCTTGTGTTGAATTTTTATGTAATGTGTGATTTATACAAAGTCAATTAACTTGTACATAAATTATGAAGAATAATAACCTAATACGAATTTGACAGGCAGAAAACATTGAACTTTTGAGAGTACTTTCTGTACGTGGGTAACATTTTTAATAGTTTTCTCACTTTTTGGAGAACAGGGACAAAAAAGCTCTGCCAAATGCTCCCAGGTTACCCGGGGCTCAGGACTGCAGCTGGCCCACCCAGCTCCTGCCTGCACTGCGCTTCCCACGGGCTCTCCAAAGCGAAATCTTTTAAAAATCAAGTACAATACCTCTCTGTTCGAGTCCAAACTACTTTTTTTGTACATGGAAAACCATTCATTATCCTTCCTTATAATTTCTATTCTGTTGAATGAGCAATACCACTTTGAACAAAATTATAAATATCCGAAGATGCCTTTATGCCTAATTTTGGCACCGTGCATACTAATGAACGTTTCACGAGCAACAACCATCCCGGGTGTCATCTGCAGTTCTCCCAGGACTCCACAAAGAAACGGACGAGTCCAACAAGAAGGAGGTCGGGAACACCATCCCATGCCCTATCCCAAGGCCACGTAGCAGCAAAGTCTTCCAGAGACAGTTTTCTGCCAGGGGTAGACAGCTACCATTTGTAATACTTACTAAGTAGTGCTTTTCAAAAGCTTCTACTGATGATAATGCTTCTTTGAGTTTCTTATAAGGACTCTGAGCTGTGTTGGCTTAAATGAAAAGAAAGAAGAGTCCTTATCCGTCCTCAGTATGTCCAGTCATGAGTCCACACCCACCCTCACACGCTACAGGTTCGGGAGTTCACCTGCTGCCTGGGGACATCACGGACAGCCATGCCACCTGGAACTAATCACGACCTCTGTGCTTGCCCAAGTAGGATAGTCATGAAAGAGCCTAACCCCTGTGTGTAATATTTCATTCTTGATTGAGACTAGAGTTTGTAGCTCCATCACTTTCACGATGATCAGATGTGTCTTAAGCTGGAGCCTGGCAATGTGACCTCACACGTCACATAGGTGGTCTGGGCCACCAGGCTTTGGCTAAATCTCACTCTTACTACTCGCTCAGGTTTACACCTGCAAGAATCGGTAAGGCTCCTTCCAGAGGGCTCTATGAGCTACCAGTAACTTAGTGAGTAAAAGGATTTGTCTGTCTGTGTTGCTCAGAAACTAGATCCCCTGTAATTCAGAGGGAGATGGTGCATCTTAAGTCCACACAGGCTGAAGAGAGTCATGATCAGCTTCTATAGGCCTGTGAGAAACTCAGAAAAATTTTTAGAAATCCTTCCAGTTTCTTAAACTAACCCTAACACTTCTTTACATTAGTAAAAAGCAAATAAAATATCTTGCATATTAATCTGGTCAGCTAACAAGGAGTATAATTTCCCACATGAGGAACAATTACATTGTTAGGACTTGAGTTAAACATGCCAAGATACAACCGAAATTTTCATTACTTTCCACTGTACCACTTGTCCAGATACACAACAAAAGTACCTGTTTCAGGTCGCTCAGCTCCCAAACCTGCCAAAAGATCAACTATCCTGTTGAGGTCCTCTGAGTTAGGTCCTTTTTCGGACACAAGTCCACACAGATAGCCCAAGGACTTTAGCTGTTGAGATAAACCCACAATTTCAGGTAATTTCCAATAGCAGTCAGCAGAGAATTTATGAGTTTGAATATAAAAAATTAAAACCCAACTAAATTCTAGAAGAAATTGAGCTTTCCTATGTAAGTAATTCTCACCTGAACATAAAAACCTATCTCGACCTCACACCTGCACGTGGTAATTCTGAGTGACTCTCAGGCTGGCAGTCCTCAGCTTGTGCCACGCACCTACCTGCACTGTCCCAAGGTTTCCAGGCCTCCCGCCCCATCCCCACCTGCAACCTGACCCTGGCGGGCACACGGGGTGACCATCAATCACTGTCACAGAAACTCCTTGCTTTCCTGCTTTCTACACGACACTTCACCCTTCTCTGTACCCCCCCAATCTCCCCCCCCCCATTCCTGGTGTGGAACATCTTCAGCACAAACAGGGCACGGAGTGGTCTGTGCTGAATAGTGACACCGGGAGGGAACCATTTTGTGCATCACTATGACTGGACACACCCCAAAGTGACTAGAATCACCCATATGATGACTAAGTGAACAACACTTCTCCAAACAGCTTCCTCCATCTTCCCACCCAGAGCACAGCGCAGAACAGAGCCCTGCATTCGGGCGGTTACCTTCTCAGTGGCATAGCTCCATAAACCCACGGTGTGGGCAATGTTGGAGTCAATCTGCGCCCGGTCACAACACCCTTCTATCCTCTGCAGCACCTCGAGGCAACTCAGGAACACCCAGCAGTCCAGAGCACCAGGCGGGACAGAGACCTGGAAGGTACAAGCACGGGCATGAGGACAGAGCTTGGGGAAGGCACCAGACCCCACACTCTACCGCGCCCCTCCAGCAGCGACCCAACCCAATGCTGCGTCCACACAGCTAGGAGGATGAAACGGGGCGTGACAATAATCACATCAATTCACGTCTCTGGAGAGGAGAGTGGGGATCTACATCCAAACACAGTCTTTGGTCTTGTATTTCCAGTGATAAGGAGAGTCCTGGGAGGGACAGAACTTCCAATAATATATTTTGAAAAGCTTATTAGGAAAAGGTGGCAACAAAAAGGCTGACTCTGACCACTTTAAGTTTGAGGAACACACATTACAAAGGGTGGAAGCGAGGACCTCAGGTGAGCACCAAGCTCCGTTTCAGGAAGACCATGGTGATACTTAGGAATTATTTAATTCATTCATTTTTAAGTGTTAGATTATGTTTGCAAAAAAAGAGCTCTTGTTGCTTAGAGATACTCTCTGAACTCTTATTACCCACAAGAAAAACATGATGTCAAAGATTTGCCTAAAAATAACCCAGGGGACTGTGGACAGGGACATAGATAAAGAAAAGAAAAGAATGGTACACGCGGGTGGGTGGCTGCCGTAGCTGGTGATGGCAGACCCAGAAGCTCACCACATTATCCTCTCTACTGCTGCATATATCCGAGCCTTCCCATTACAAAACCAATCAAGTAAACCCTATATCATCACAAATGCAAAAAGCATCTACCGTATATGTATGACTCATTCTAAGATGCACTTTTCCCCACATTTAAGCATCTCTGAACTAGGAATGCGTCTCACCATCAACGGCATCCTAACACTCCAAGCTGGCGGGGCTGTTTTCCTGGTGGCACTAACAACTAAGGGATCTTCCAACTGGTACCCCAGTTGGGTGAGATATGTTAACTGGTACTATTCAAAAATCGGAACCGCAGAGGTAATTGTACATCCCTTGATGAGGGAGACTGCCCAATGCCGACACAAGACTCCTTCTATACACCCTGAGCTCAGATACAAGGACCTGGAACCAACTGGAAAGAACCAGAGTCTCCCTAATGTTTCCATAGAAGCTAAGTTGCCCAGTTTTTGCATAATGAGATAAACAACTCTTCTCCTTCGAGAAGAAAAACTGGCATAGAAACCACTTATAGCATCAGCAGCTCCTCTGGCCAGACAATGGACCACACGCCAGGGGCACACAAAAGAGCTGCTGGGCAGGACGCATCCTGGGCAGCCTGCACAGGGCGCATCCTTTCCTCGCCAGTCACCCCAGGCTGGGCTCTCAGACAGCTGACCCAGCCTCATGGCGCTCCTGGCTCTAGGCCGCACACGCTGGTACTATCACCTCACAAGACACAACCATCATGGGCACCCGTTCTGTGGAAACTTCTGTTGAACATGCCACCTGTCCTCAGGCACACGCTGGTTGTCTGCTAGCATGAAGAAAGGGGACGCACCATGGCTATCCACAGGGCTTCTGACCCCGATGAACCCAGAGAGGGAAGGGGAACACCCAGCAGTCAGAGCAGGGAACTGCCGCAGGGCAGGGCACCCAGAGGGGCTGTGGGGTGGGGAGCACTGAGGGGCTGTGGGGGGAGCACTGAGAGTGGCTAGGGGGGCACTGAGGGGCCATGGGGGGAGCACTGAGAGCGGCTGGGGGGAGGGCACTGAGAGGGGCCAGGTGCAGACAGGCAGGTTCGTGGGATCCGAGCAGGCAGGAGCGAGAGCAGCCGAGAACCTGAGACAGAGGCCCCGGCAGGCCCGGACGCGAGCAGACTAGATGGGCAGCACGCAGCACAAGAGAAGCTACTCCTCTGTGAAAGACCGTGAACAGATGTTCCCGAGGCACCTCTGTCTCCACCAAGGACAAGTACCACCCTGATGAGTTTGAAACCCGGCACACAGAAGGCAGCAGCACCGGCGCGCAGCAGCCCTGGCGCCGTACAGAAGGCGCACCCGGAGGCCCCACGGTCCCACAGCCGCTCTGACTTCCCACCCGAGGCTCTGGAGGCGGCCGCACCCCAAAGAGCACAGGGGCTTCTGTCCATCCTACTCCCTGGACATGCTGCTGGTTCCAGCCCTGGCTGGTGCCGCCTTGCTGGCCCTCGTCTGGGGACGCACGCCACCCCAGGGTGGCCGCTCGCTGGCCGCCGCTCGGCTTCTCCAAGCTCTGCTCAAGAGCTCCACGTGCTAACTGGCTCTGGTTAGTGGAAGAAACTACCGCAGCTTCCTGCACCTTCCTTCACAGGCCATGGGAGTTTTTACTGCAAGACATGCGTGTAGTAACCGGTACGTCCCGCGGCATCTTACAGCACCCCAGACCTGGTGCTTCCCGGGGCGCTGCCCTCTGACATTGCTGTGTGTGTGCACGTGTGTGTGTGTGTGTGTCCGTCCCTCTTGGCTCCCAAACAAAGCCCAATACCCCAAAGGGCCCGGCTGCCCTCTACACACTCCGAGGCCTGACAGAGCTGGGCTCCGCGGCAGCCCCAACCTCAGGAGTGGCGGACCTAAGACTTTCAGAAATCTTTAAAATATAATTATAGTCCTACTCTTCTCATTGCTTTTAAAAAAAGAAGTTACACATACACACAGTGAGAGACGTAAAGGGCACCAATCCTGACTTTAGAGCTCCGAGAATGTTTACAGCTGTAGCCAGCACTCAAATCAAGAACAGATCACCTTCATTACCCTGGAAGGTTCCCTCGAGCCCCTTTCCCGGTCAAAATCCACCCTCAAGAGTAACCCCTTCCTGCCCTGTCACTGGCGGCTGAACTTCACACAAACCGAATCGCCCGGTACAAGCCGGTCCGTTCGTGGCCACAATCCCACCTGCGGGGCCTGTCAGCGGCTCGGCTCCACTGCTGGGCCCTACGCCCGTCTACGGATACGCCACAGTCTATTAATCCATCCCTGTCGATAGGCGTTTGGGTTGTTTCCAGGGTTTGGCTACTGTGGAGAACGCTATTTGCGATACGGCCCGCCTCTCTGGGGCAGGAAGCCTTCTCCGACACCAAGACCCCCAGCCCCCCCGTACACCAATCCACACAGGAGGCTAAAGGGGGCAGCACCGGGTGCCCCTCTCCCGCAGGAAGGCCCGCGGCACCAGGGCAGGGAGACCAAGACTGGGGCTCTCAGGAGCCCTCATGGCCCTCGGAGGAGTCCTGGTCTCCTGGGACAGCTGCAGGGGTGCAGCGGATGGCTGCTGGACGCTGTTTTCACCTTTTCCCTAAAAGTGGAAATCCTCTTCGGGTTTTCTCTGGTTAATGCGAACAAGTACGAATGCAGGTCTTTTGTAAAGGTGACGTGGTGTAAAACGAACTTTTGAGGACTGGGGATACCCGCGTATCTGCTTTAGTTTCTTGAAACCCCCTCCTTTCCTAAGACCTCTAGTATCAGTGACTCCAAGAGCCATTTTACCGTTTTCTCAGCCCACAGTTAAAGGCATTCTTTTTATTCTTTCTCTTGTTAAACCTTCATGATTTTCCAAGACCAAACACTGAGAAACACCGCGTCATAAGGAACCGGCACGTGTCGACCTCCTGCTGGAGAATCAAAGCTGCAGCGGCGCCCCTGCCCCCAGGACTCCCCTCGCTCAGTCACCCCCACGTCCAGCTCGCTGGTAGCCACCCCCCCTTCACAAACCCAGCCCTGGCCGGACGCCTCACAACAGGCTGCTACAACTTTCATCTTGAACGCTGTGTACACGGAAGCAAAACGTCTACATTCTTCGGTGTCCAACTTCTTCGCTCCTCTGGTCCGCTAGCCGTCCGTCCGTTTCCACTGCTGTCTGCTAGGCCGCCGTGCAAGCAGACCACAAGGATCGTACCCGTGGTACGTGATGGGCATCGGGGTTATTTCATTTCCAGCAATTATGAATAATGCTGCCACAAGCATTTCTGCACCTCTTGGTACACGCGTGGCCCTGTGTGTGGAGATGCCCGGGGCAGGACGGCTGGCTCACGGGCACGTGTACGTCTGGCTCCAGCAGGTACTGCCACACAACTCTGCACAGTGCAGGCGCGGACTGCCACCCCCTCGGCCACCAAGGAGCTCATTCCACCCCGCTCGCTACCACGGGTGGAGCCCTGCGACGGTGGCCATGGTCGGGCTGTGTGCTGGCCTCCGCTGCAGACTTAGTTTGCCCTTTGCTATGATTAAGGACATGAAGCACCTGTCCATGTGCTCTGTGGCCATTTGGAGAGCTTCTTTGGCCTATTCTTCTATTGATGGCTCAGCCCCTTTCCCTGATGCGCAGGAGTTCTTCACGCTGTCTAGGGGAGAGCCCTTCCCGCCTGCATATCCACGCCGTGGCGCGCCTCTTCCCTGTAGTCCGGTCCCACACTCTCTTCCTTTACGGTCACTGCCTTTTGGTCCTGTGTCAGAAATATCTGCTAGCCTCTAGGTCGTGGAGATAGTCTCCCACATGCTCTCCTAGAAGCTTCTTTATCTTTCATGTTTAGATCAAAACTCCACCTGGAACTGTATCTGGTATGACATCGAGATTTACTTTTACATATATTGAGATATTCAATAGACTCAATGAATAAATTTTTCCTGAATCCATTTATTTAAAATGTACCCCGACTGCCCTGGTTCAGACCGCTGTCCTCCCCAGTGGATTAATGCCTTGGTCCCTGGCTCTCCTGCCTCCATCTAATTGTGGGCCTCCGTCTGCCCTCTGCCCCAGCAGGTCCCACACTTTTCATGGCACCATGACTTCAAACCCAACAATGGCTCCTTACCAGGCTATGGAACCAAACCCAGGCTTCGGGAGGACATACAAACACTTCCAATCGCTCTGCAGCCTCACCAGCAAGCCCTGTCTCACCCCCTAAGTTCCGCAAGACTGAGCTCCTTTATGCTCCCTTCACTAAAACTTTCTCTGCCCCAAACTTGCTCTCACGTTTGCCACCACAAGCCTACATCTACCTGGCGAATTCTCACCCAACCTACTCATTCCATTAAAATGTAAACTCCCCAGGATAGGGTCGGGT